TAAGCATAGAAAAGGTAGAAATGCTGTCTTATATTTCTCCACATTCTTAATGTCAAAGGAAATTCTCTACCAATAGAAAATACAGAATTTGTGGTCAACAATACTATCCCCTCCTATTTATTCAACCAGGCAAATTGTTATTATCTACATTTACAGTGAGAAAACTGAGAAGTAAGAGAGTTCAGGAACTTGACCAAGGGAATAATAAAGGGTGGAGAAAAACATGCTCTTCTGAACATTGCACCCAACACTGCTTCTCAGGTAGCTTGCTTGAATTATTTCTTTACAAGCCTGAAACAAGCTTTTCCACCACTAGCACTAATTTCTGGCAATAGTTAGTACTCGTCATGAATAATCCAACTGAGACAGCATTCTGTTTGAGCTGTCTATCTGTTCTTTTTGAATCACCACTGAAAGTAAATGAATTAGGAAACTGTCTTATGTAGTGTCTCTGAGCAATAGAGAGAAAACATTTGAACCTTATTCTGTACAATGATTGGGAGAAGTGGCTGTGCATTCAGGTCACAGTGAACAGCATTAAGCAAAGTAGACAGTAATATCACCAAAGTTTGCCGTTTTCGAAACTTAAAATGGGTGAAGCTTGTCTTCTCAGCCCCTTGATCTGCTTGCATGGGTGAAAGAGCCACGTGTAGTGACAGAAGGCACAGATGAGGACTTTCTAGTGTGCAAAATGAGACTGTGGTGATGGTTCATGTCACTTGTGTGGGGGATGGTTCTTGCAATCGAAAAGATTGATGTTAACTTTATTTCCTCCTCCACGAGTCACTCTCACTTCTCTATTGCTAGGTATCAAGTATCTTAATTGTGTTGCATTTCTACCCCTTATTAAATAAGAATGCTGTTAAGTTCTTTAAGACACAACATGACTACTAGGTTTAGTATTCTGCTGTTTATAGGGATTATCCTCTTTAACAAGAGACCACAAATCTAATATGCAAGGAATGAAAGTGTAATTATGAAATGGAGACTGCTTTGATCATGGAAATCCAGACTTGCTAAAACACAAGCCTCTACAATATGGAAACAGGGCTCCTTGGAGAAATTACTGATTCCAGGATCAGGCCAGGGAAAGCACAAAGGGAGCCCAGAATGACTTGTGCCAGGAAGTGCAGAGCACTCAAAAAACAACACAAGTGTGCAAAAAGGGTGCAGAAGCCAATGTGAAGGGGTTCACATGAGCTGAGCCTGGGAGAGACTGATAAAGAGCAACAACAGGAGTGGATTATAGCATAGGCATGAGACGTGTGACATTTATGACTCATACACAAGTCCATATACACATTGTAAAATATTTAAAGGTAGGTGTGGAGAAAGGAGAAAATTCTTTTATACAGTATTGATTCGATTAGCACATGTAGAAGGGGCAGTGGAAATACAAGCCATTCTTTCACAATCACCATCGTAAGGCTTTATTCTAGCAATGATTATCAATAGATGTTAAAAAGCAGTGGGTAAAAACATGTGGCAAACAATATAATTACTAAGTCTCAGATTTATCATTATTTGCAGTAGGAAAAACACCTTTACAATGGGGAAATCTAGTGGAAACCATTCTAACCAAATTATAAAATTTATTATCCCCAATAAATTGACAATCCAGTTCCTCCAATGTGCTTGTAATAGAATTGCTCCTCCAAATGATTAAACTAGGTAAGAGCATGAAGAAACAATCCAACAAATCTACTAGATTAGATTCTTCAAAAATGTTACTGTCGTGTCGTGAAATACCATACACATACATGTACACATACACATACATGTACACAGAGGCTGAGTACCTGACATAGATTATAGGAGACTAAAGCAAAATGACAATAAATATCATGTCTTGATTCTTTGATTTATGATCAATGGGAGGAAGCAAAAAAATGAATTGGGGACAACTAGGTAAATTTAAAGACAGTATATCAGATGATAATAAATTTCTCAAAGATGATTGATTATATGTGATTATTTGGACAATCTTCATTCTTAGATGATATGTGCTGAAGTTTTAAAGGTGAAAAGTAATTATTTTTTCAGTTGTTTTTTTTTTGTACTGGGTCCTTGTACTTGCAGGGCAGGTGGTGGAACCACTAAGCTAAGTCCCCAGCCCTGTTTCTGTTATTCTTGTGTGATCCATATCCATCTATAAAGAATGTGGCAATTAAATCCAAAATAAAAAGAACGCATATCTTTAAAAACACAGGTTCATGAGTAGGCCAGATATTTAATCCAAATGGCCGATTTAATTATTTTTCAGAAAAATCACTTGAAGTTTATAAACAAAATTGGGTGAAAATAATAGTTCAAGCTCATCTTCAGATAAAATATTTCCAAAAGCTTAATACACCCAAGGTCCTTGAGCCATCATTGTCCTCAGCAGGCAAAAATTTCACTCACCTGGGCATGATACATTTTCTTGCTTCACAGTGTTGAAAAAAAGAATGTTTATTGCCTGAAGAAATATTTTGGTAACAAGGAAAAATATAGAACACCTTAATTTAGGAAGGATTACATATGCTGTATTTTGTTTTTCAAGATTGTCTTTAGAGATCAGCTCTCATCTTCAGGAGGATTCTCCTCTTCCTATCCAGAAGGAGATTGTCTCATGTTTGAAGCTTATTAGTGGTCTGAGGTTGGGTTCCTCTCTATGCCTCACTCACCTCATCTAAAAGGTAAAGATGGAAAATATCACCTACCTCATCAAGGTGTTGAGGATAAATGAATTAGCATCAATGAAGCACTTAGAATACAGCATAGCACCTATTACGTACTTCAGAAATTTTAGCTATTATAACTGTTGTGTATAGCTTCAAGACTAGGTATCTTTGTAGTCACCAGTGTGCTCATAAAAATAACTTTACAACGTCAAGTCCATTAATTTAGTAAAATTTCTGCTTCTTTCTTTTCTGTACAAGGCTAAGCCCTGCTCAGTTTTGTTTATCATTTATTTCTTGGCTACTTTGTTTTGTCTTTAGGATATCTGGGGAATACTTCCAAGTCATATTGAGAGGCACTTCATTATTTGGATAAATATTTTCAAAACTTTCATTCTCCATAGCTGGGTTTCCAGGTATTTTCTGCAACTGTTCATATCAATTAACACTTCACACGTTCTTCTTGGCATTTTCACTTCTCCTTCTTTGTTATTGCTTATGATAAAGTAGCTTCCCCTTCTCCTGTCCTTAAATGACCTGATAAATTCCTTCCTCCTTAAACTTTGGTGTTTTAATATATATTATATCCCACCTAAAATATATTTATCTAACATGTGGAGAGCAAGCAACATAGATCTCTTTAGGAAAATGCTACTTTAATGCATTTTACACATACTTGTGGAGGCTTCAGAGTATCATATTTAGTAAAAGTAGTTGCAAATAAAGTCTTCTCAAGGTATAATGAAATATAAACAATTTCTAACATCATAATCCTAGTCTTCTTTAGAAATTATGTTTTTTGTTTTGTTTTTTTTGAGACAGGGTCTCACTATGTAGATCAGGCTGGCCTTGAACTCATTATGTAGCCCAGGCTGGCCTCAAACTCACAGCAATCCTCCTGCCTCAGCAGGAGTGCTGGGATTTCAGGTGTGTGCCACCACACCCAGCCAGAATTTATGCACTTATTAAACATGTTAAACCTATTTGTGAACGTGATTTTATTCACTATAGATACTTTTCACTTAAAGATATTAATTTTCAACAGTCTAGTAAACAGTAGGAGGTAGCCTGGGCAATTATACTATAAAGCCAGATTATTCTTGCTTTTTATAGACAAATATCTGTGGATTAAATGGTTATCAACTGTGTGTCACTGTTTGGTCTTCATTTTAAAGATTACATGGATTAGATGTATTTTTGTACATAGGAAAAATAGGTCACCAACTGAATGCAAACCATGGCTCATCTTTTTTAACATGGTGTAAAATGTCATGTCTTGTGATTTTCTTAAACTGAGATATAAATTACAAGATTTAAATGTTTAATTGATAGTTTAGAGTGGTTACATTCTCAATAGGTTTTTTAAACCAAATGCCTATCTTTACATATTAAGTATTTGAAAAATACTTTTTCCTTGCTATCTAAATGTTTTTCTGACACTATTATTCCAAAGTATCCCAGAGATTCTGAAAATTGTCAGTCTAGAAATTCCGCTGGAGCACTTGACTGCTGACTGGGAGTGGTTGGAGTTTGCTGTAGTCCTCTGGATATTACAGATTGTAAAGCACTTTGGGGGTTGTCGTTCAGAAAGTGACGGTAATCCCTGGGGTGGGGCTAATCTACCCTTCTGGCCTCCTGTCTCTCTGCTGCTGAGACAGATGGAGTCTGTGCTGCAGTTCTCTTTCTCTCTGCTTCTCCTGCTTCTTTTGGCCCTTACTTTTTCCTTCAACATTTGGAGGGCAGACATCTGTTTGAGGACTAGGAAGGATAGCTCTGCCTAAGAAATATGGTTAGGATCCTTTGAGTGTGGACCCAATACTTTGCTTCCGAGATGAATGCTTTGTCGGACTATTGGCTACTGGATCTGCATGTCCAGGTCCACACCTATGCAGGCCAGACTTCTCTGACCAGTGTCCATGCTTAGCCATCCAGGGGATCCAGAAATCAGCAGGGAAAGCCTTAGAATGTGTAGCTATTTCTTCATTCCATCACTTGCGTAAGCAAGGCACAGGCTTGCTCTTTACAAGTAGAGTCTTCTACAATTCTTTTTAAGGTGCACTGTCAAGAGATTTTTCATCTCTTATCCATTCTCTCTTGTAGATCAGTTCAGAGCCTAAAATCCCATCGGGATCCTGTCTCTCTCTTTTAAAGCAGTTTGGTTTCCTTTGAACTAAAAAGGCAATACTTGTCCATTGTGGTGAAATTGGAAAATAAGAGACAATTGTGAACAATTTTACTAATATTTTAATATATTTTATTACTTTTTTTGGTGAGTCTGAACAGACACACAGATACTTATACCAAAAGACACAAACTCACATACATATATGTTAGGTTTGAGTGTATTGAGCAAATGCTATGATCTAGGACTTGTACTAAGTATTGCACATGCATTTGACCATTCAGGGCCAGGTGGAGACAGCTGATTTGTTTTTGCCTGCAGGTATCCAGCTTCCTTCTGCTGGGAACTGCTCCATGAGCCAGCCGTCTTGGTGGGGCAGTCAGTCTGATGCTTTGCTCTCTTCTGGCAAAAGGGTTGGACCCATATTCTCAAACAGCCAAGTAGATGCTTTCCCTGAAATTTGCATCTTAAATAGAAACACTCAGAAAGACCAAGCAATGACTTTATCGTTCTCATCCAGGTGGTGTCCTGAAAAGACTCCCAGTGGTTTTTGTTACCTAGATTTAGTGAGCTCTTCTGGGACCTGCCCCTTCCTAGGCTGTTTTCTTCTGCTCTTCCTCTGAATCCAAACTTTCCATATCCTTCCAACAACATGTTTAAAAAATTGTTAGTTTTGTTTCTTCTCACCATCAAAAATTCCTAATCAACACAGAAATATACTAGTATTATGCTAGTATACAGAAACCAAGATGGAAGCTTTATTTGTAATTTTGTCTTGAGACAGGGTCTCACTTAGTAGCCCAGGTTGGTCTTGGACTCATTATCCTCCTGCCTCAGTCTCTAATACTAGGGTTACAGGTGTGCACTACACCTGACCTGACTAATTTTAACCAACTCTCATCTTAATCTCTCTCTACAGGGATACATAGGTGAGTGTGTATTCATATATGTATATATATGTTAATATTCATTTAATGTTAATCATTTTCAGCCTTTAGCCCTTTTTTTATAAAAGGAAAATCACTGTGGAAAAATCTCAAAATCATTGTAAAGTACAAAGAAGATAAACTCATCTATTATTCCAGGCAACATAATCATCACTGTTAATATTGTAATGTGTTTTCTTTAGACCTCCCTTTTCTCTTTGTGTGTGTCTGTTTGTCTATGTATATCTAATCTATGTATATGTGTATACATACAGTGTACATTCACACACCATGCACACACAAATAGGAATCCATATGTAAATATATTTACATATGTATATTTACATAGAAAAGCATGCATATGCATGTGTGTGTTAACATCCATGCTATATGCACAAATCTGTACCATCACTTCTTTCTCTCAATATTATTTTGAAAGCATTTTTCTGAGTAATTAAACTTCTTCCAAAATATCCTAATGGCTATATTTCATTATGTAATATACCGTATACCAGTTGTATATGAAAATACACCTCACTCCTCAACATTATCTTTTTATTGTTCTATTTCAGTAATTCGTAGTTTTGTTTTTCTTTTTGACATTTATTTGAAATATTTGGGTTTTTTGCTTCTCTCAGTCACTTTCCCCTTGCTGAGACACAATACTGGACACCCAGGACATAAAGAGGTTTATTTTGGCTCACATTTCCATGGTGGGCCACTCCAAAATGGAAATGGCAAGACAGGAGCATGGTGGAAGAAAAGCTATTGAGGTCATGGCAGGCAGGAAGCAGTGAGTGAAGGAAGGGCCAGGAAGGAAGATAAACCCTTCTGGGTCACACCCCTAGTGACCTGCCTCTTCCAACCAGACTCCATCTCCTAACAGCAAGTCAGCTATTCAACCACCTTGCCCCAAAGCCCTGCCTTTGAGCCCAGCAGGCTCTGGGAAGACGTCCAGATACAAACCATAACTCTGGAATCAACTGATTGTCCTAAACACATTTTAAAAAATCAGATCTATTATCATGAAGAGAATGGGCACTCTTCCTTCCCTGAAGATTCACTCTCTCATGTGAACAGGACACAAAAGTGTAACTCAATTTCCCCGTTGGTTACTTTCATTAAATATTTTATGCAAATAGCCCAGCCATTGGTAGTGCCCAGCAGTAGATGTTCTCAGATGTTTCTGAGTGTGTACTACGGTAATCCATATTGGCAAAGTCTACAATTTGCAACTTACACTGCCTGTACAATGTATGTTTATGTTTTAATTACAATGATGTTACGAATTTGGAGGTTAGAGCTCACAGGAAAAGGCTGAGGCCAAAGCCAGTGGAGGTGATGGTGGTCAGAATTCACACTGTGTCTTCAACGCTTAGATCTTGCAGTTGTCATTAAGCCACATGCCCAAAGCTCCCAGGGTCCAGAATGTAAAGTGACTCCAAACACGTTAAGTTCTGAAATAATGTTAAGGAATTCAATAGCAAATGCATGTGTGGTATTTTTAGAATGAGACTGATTTACATTTGAGGACTTTTAATTGCAGCCATCTATCACGAAAGTTTTAAACTTTCCATGTCTAAATATATAAATGCAGCAATTTAAATGAGCCAGCTGCTTTCTTAACGTAGAGCACGACTTGATGAATTTATGAATGACTGAACAGATGAGAACCAACAGCCAGGCTAAGAATATTGTAGCCCCGCCCAATAACCTTAGCCACTATCAGCACCTTGGAGAGCTTCGAATTTTAAGCCACTACCCACCACCACCAATATTCTTAGAAAGGAAAGAAAAATGGTTACATTGACCTCTTCCATGTTCTTCGAAAACTAATATATCTCAAATTTTCACTTTGCTACCCCCAAATAGCCTTTCTTTTGCCCTATTTAAAATGAAATTGCCATGATCTGTCATCCTGCGAGAGCATATTAGATTTAAGCTGCATCACTACTTTTTCCCAAGAAACCCATTTCTTTACTATGTCTGCAAATTAAAACATTACTTTCAAATGAGAGTCCAGGAGAAAATCAGCTCGTCCTTCCTCCAGGGGTTTTAATTCCTGGGCAGGATCTCTTTGGCAAGAGCCAGTGAGAGTAGAGTCTGGTTCCCCTAGGTGTAGTCCGAGGACCTGCCGCGGAGAGCAGGAGGTCAGACGGGCCTGGCTGCCCTTCAGAGCCTCCTGGAGGCCTTGGCCAGGACAATCGCTGGCGCGCACGCGCGCTCGCTTCCCCGCAAACAGACCTGGCCCGCCGGTACAGCACCTGCCAGGTTATAAACCTCTCCCTACTCACTCTCGCTCCCGCGGGGAGGCTCACGCTCGTGTTCTTTTTATTGGTCGGAGCCCAAGAGGACCCGTCCAATCAGCAGCCCTCTCTGCTCCACCTATGCCTCTCCTCCCGCCTCCGCCCTCCGTCCCGGGCACTTTCCTTCATTGTGACTGGTGCATGGGCAAGTCACTCAGAGGGTCGGCGAGGTGTGCCGGCGAGGGGCGGGGCGGGGGAGGGGCCCAGGTGCGGGCCGTCGGGGGCGGGGCGCGCGGGCGCGAGGCGGAGCCGAGGGGGGGCTACGCGGCGACGTCTGCGCGGAGGACTTCGCGCGTGAGCCGCGCGGACGCTTGGCCTGGCTCGTGAGCTTTTCCAGCGGGCGACCGGTGGCAACACCGGCCCCGGAGGAGCCGCGGACGGGCGAGGGGGCCTTCGCCGGCGGGTGTCCCGTCATGGAGGAGGTGCTGGCGGCCCCGGAGCGGCCGCTCTGCGACAGCCTCATCCTGTGGGTGAGTGCGGGGCCTGGGTCCCGGGGTACCTGGGGCGGCCCGGGCCCCGCCGCACTGTCGGGGTCGCCGACTCGGCCTCCTCGGGACCCTCCGCGTCGCCCCGCCGGACGGCGGGTCTCCCACGAGGGCTTTTCACCTGTCCCCTGTGTGGAGACGAAGCTGTTTCGGCAGTGGGAGCTCGCGCTCTCATTTCTCCCTGGGCCCCTCTTCCTCCATATTTTTCTTTAAAGCAAACGACTTGGCATGTTTACGCTTCATCCATATTTAGAATTCGTGATCGTTCGTGCTAGGCTCAGAGGGGCCAGATCCAGTCCCAAACTTGTCATTATTCCAGCGAGCAGAGTGGTATCACACCTCTTGGAGTTGCCCGGAGCTGGGAGAGCTGGCATCCAGGTGTGGTTCCCAGCGCCTGTCGGGCAAGGGTGGGTGCGATTGGTGCTGCACCCCCAGAGCATTTAGCTGGCTGTCGGGCGCGGGTGCGGAACGGAATGTGGGCAGACTGGATCAGGAGGCCTTCCTCGGTTGATGAGATTCCCGGCCATCTCATGCTGTAATTCCAAAGAATGAGAAAATTGGAAGGTTTCTGTAAGTGTATGAAGTCTGTTGGAAATAGCCGTAATTTAAAGCAGCTTTGATACTTAGGAAGTAAATAACTTTTTAAGTGGAATGCAAACGTCTAGAGTTTCTGGGTTAAAAGCAGTTAGCTAACTGGAAACGTGTATACTCATTTAAACTAGGTGTTGGGTTTTAGGTGCTGTATTGAAGATCGCCGTGAAACAAGGCAATGTCAGTTTTAATGATCTGTTTTGTTAGGTGGTTAATTAAAGGATGTATCCTAATTTGTTACATTACACTTTAACTTCATCTGAATGAAATAATAAACTCTTAGTCTTTTATGCAGTTGACTTCGGTGTGACTGGTGAAGAAGCATTTTCTTGAACTGTACTGTGGTATTTTAAAATGTTACGTGACTGAACCTATTCTTTAATCAGTATCTGTTGACTTCCTATTTTGTGTAAGGTGCTGAGCAAGGCATAGATCAGTTTTAATTGGAGTGGTAGGCAGAGCTGTGGGTAAGTCCAAGCAAACTTCCTTGAAACCTGAAAACTTGTTTTAAACCAATGAGGAATCGAGAAGGCAAGAGTACAGTTGATTATTTGCTTCTGCAGTCCTCTCTCAGGCTGCAAAACACCATGAAGAAAATCGAATGAGCAAACTGTTACCTTAGTTACTGTTGCTACTGGCAGATGTGGCTTTTCCTGTACCCTTGCCCAGCTTTATGGTTAAGAGTGACCAGACAGTTCTTTCTTACTTTTAACAAACCTTTTTCCTTATTCTATTTGTCTTCCTTCAGTCCAGTGACCGACCACTTCCTTGACTTTGGCTGTTGCTTAAGACTCTGTCCCTTCCAACTCTTCTAGAACTTTGCTTTATTGCTTACCTCTTCTGTATTTGCGTGTTTTTCTCTTCATTGGCTCCTTTGTCTGCATAAATTGCTAAAATGCTTTTTCACAAGAACAAAGAGCCACCACTTACTGACTTCATATTAAAACCATACTGTGTTTCCCATCTCTCTCACTCCCCTTTTCTACTTCCTTTACTCTCATTCACTCCTCAACCTACTCTGTTAAGTTTCCTTTCTCTCAGGTTTTTGCTTCATAATGTTTGCCAAATGTATTAACTGTAATATTATCCTTCTGTTACTTGCTGTTTCCTTTGTGAAATTATCTTGTTTTAATTTCTAGGATACTTGTCTCTTGGCTTTTCTTCTTTACATAATTTCTGGTGAGCTTCAGTGTCTGTGTGTGTGTGTGTGTGTGTGTGTGTGCCTGCCTTTGCATTGTTGATGATCTTCCTCACCTCCCTAACTTCTCCATATTCACCTCAACGCCACACAACTCCATGTCCACCATTCTCATTGACTCCCTGTTTTTTGAAGTTTAGCTTTTTTTATATATACACTTTGAAAAAAAAGAAACATTTCTCTTCCTTCTACCTAGAATATTCTAGGTTTTCCATGACTGGTTATTCTCACTATGCAGACCTTTGGTCTGTTGTTGCCTTTCAGAGACTCTTTGTGACAGCCCTTTCTCAGGTAGGCTTAGTGGTGCTTTTCTGTAACCTCAGCTTGGGAGGCTAAGGCAGGGGGATTGAAAGTTCAAGGCTAACTTGAACAACTTAGCAAGACCCTATCTCAAAAAATGAATAGGGCAGAGGATGTAATTTAGTGGTAGAGCACCCCTGGGTTCTATCCTGGGAACCACAAAAACAAAACAATACTAGCACGAAACAGAATGTGGATCAGTGAAGTGGAATAGAAGACACGGAAACAACCCCAGGCACATTCAGGTGTCTGATCTTTGGCAAAGGGGCTGAAAATATACCTAGGAAGAAAGATAGCCTCTTTAAAAAGCAAGTAGTGATGGGAAAATTGGCTAGCCACATGCAGAAGATTGAATGTAGACCCACATCTGTCACCACTTACTAAACTAAAATCAACATGGATCAGAAATCTAAATATTAAAACAGAAACACTTAACCTGACCTGCTGGAAGGTAAAATAGGTTAAAGTCTTGAAGACATAGGTATAGGCAAGGACTTTCTAAACAGAACCCCAATTGGACAAGAAATGACATCAAGAATAAGCAAACGGGATCATGTGAAATTAAAAATCTTCTGCATAATAAAGGAAACAATCAATAGAGTATAGAGACAACCTGCAGCATGTGGGAAATTTTTTGCCAGCTATTCTTTAAAGAGAGGACTAGTATTAAGAATATATAAAGTCAAAAAAATTAGATCCCCCCAAAAATATCAATAGGCAAATTTTCAGAAGTACAAATGTCCACTAAATACATGAAGAAATGTTCAGCATCTTTTACCATTGAAGAAATGCAAATTAAAACACCAAGATTCCATCTTCAGAAAGAATGGCTATCAAATAATAATAATAATAATAATAATATAGCAACCGCTACTGAGGCTGTGGGGAAAAAACCCTTCTACAGTGTTAGTGGGAGTGTAAACAAGTACAGCTGATGTAGAAATCAGTATGGAGATACCTCACAAAACAAACTAGAAATTCCATTTGACCAAGCTCTTCCCCTTCTTGGTATCTTCACCAAAGACATCATTTTACAGTGATACATGCATACCCATATTTATAGTGGCACAATTTACGATAGCTAAACCTTGGAAACAGCCTATATGTCCATCAGCAGATAAATGGATAAAGTAAATGTGGTATTTATACACAATGGAGTGCTACTGTGCTGTGAAGGATAAACTTGAATCATTTGTGGGAAAATAAATGCACCTTGAGACCATAATGTTAAGTGAAATAAATCAGACACACAGCTTAAATATTGCATGGTTTCTCTTATATAAGATACCCGAAGTATAAGTAAATTAAAGAGCAAAATAAAAGACAGATAATAGGAACAGGGAGATAGATCTTTTGCAATAGGAAGAGGACCAAGAGATGGGGAGAGGGGAGGAAAAAGGAGAGGGGGAGTGGATGTAAAAAGAATGAAAAAGTGTCATGTACGTGCACCAACAGCCCACAGTGAACATATTCATTACGTACTATAGTTGTGTTAATAAAAAAGACAAAAAACGAAAGAAGCAACACAAAACAAAAAATAGTAGTGACTTATCTGTTGCCCACCCCATCCGTTTATTTAACCTCTTTCTGTCATTATATCATTATAGCACTTAACTCCTGAAGTCATCCAGTGTGCTACTTGCCATCAGAGCTCTTGTCTGACCTGTTTTCTGCTCTACCCTCTTTCCATCAAAATAAGACCTAGCTGGAAAATAATCAGCCTTGAAAACTAGAGATCAAAAATGCCAGCCCTAAACAGCTTATCCTCGCCCCACCTGCCGTCACTATTCTCTTGCTCCGTGGCTACTCTGCAAGATAGGTAAGGCGAAGATAGGCTGATTGGGGCTGGAATTTTTGAAATTTATTATCTCTGGATTTTACTTTCACCTATGAAATTTGAATATTGGATCAAATATTTTTAATGGTTCACCTAACTTTTTGACAGGCATGTATAAAAACAAATATATATATATGTTTATATACGGACACACACAAATTAAGAAAATTATTTAAAGTCTGAATTGTTTTTGTGAAGAACTTAAAATTCAAAATAATGTCTATCTTTCTGAAATGAGATATAGGAGGGGAATATGAAGTTAGAGTTGATGAAGATTTTTTTGTTGGCTATCAATTGTGAAAACCCCTTCTTTAATTTCTGTGATGTTTATATTGAAGCAGTTAGGAAAAACATTTCCACATTTGTGATTATTTTTTTCATTTAAAAATATAAGAGGAAATAAAGCTATTATTTGCCAGAATGATATGCTCAATGTTGGAGACTCAAGGAAGCCCTGTCTGTCATTTTTGGATCACTTCCTAAAAAGATCTTTTGCAAAAGGTATCTTTCACATTTGACAAATAATATGAAAGATACCTTTTCTTTTGTTCCTTACACCATAACTCCTCAACTTTTTAATTTATTCTCTATTATTGGTTAGAAAGCCTTTCAATATAGCCAAATTAAATGACATTCTCTGTTATCTAACTTAGTTTACAACTATTTTTTGAGAGATGGTCATTTTATTATCATTTTCTTTTTAAAATTTTTATTAGTACATGTTTGCAGTACATAATGTTTACATTCCTCTTGTGGAAGTGGTACATGTACATTATTGAATACCCCAGTGTCCATGGCTATGAGGAAGACAAATTTATTATAATCTGAACGTAGTGGGCAAGAAGTCAACTGTATTTTCCTCATATAGTATATATATCTTTATTGTTTTGCTTAATATTCTGTGCCTCCAATATTCTCATTTTAAAATCACTAATCATATCCATCACATCCATTTTGTAAAATGTTAATGTAACTCTTAAGTTGCACAAAAAAGTTAATGTGTAAGTAGGAAGGGGTGAAAAGTAGGAGCCACAGTTTATTTTCATTTTAAAAATGCTTTAAGCCCTGGACTTTCTCTTCCCCACATATCTACTCAATTGCAAAATCTTTATTTTATATTTCAGATATTCCATAAATTCATCTGTCCTGTCAGTCTTTGAGAAACCATAGTTCTTAGCTAGTTTGCTAACAGCTGTTGAGCTCATATGGTGTGCACATACTGGTCTGGGTGTGTTTGCTATTTCATTTGACCCCCACCCCACATCTTCTGAGGTAACAATTGTTCTGTTTCCCATTCCATAGATGTGTCACAAAGGCTATAAGTCCAAGCTTCTTGTCATGGCTCTCAAGCATTCTGGCCCATCTGTTTTGAACCCCTTGATTGTCAGCCCTAGGCACGTCCCTAAATACCATCACGACTCATATATTTCTACTTTTACTATTCCAGTTTCCCAAAGCTTCCTTTTTCTGCTTCCTTCTATTCTAACAGAATATGCTACTAATCCCTCAAGACCTTCTGTCCAAGAATCACCCAAGATGTCTTTTCCTAAATACAGACCCTAATTAGGTTAGTTAAGTCTCATACTTTTTTTTCAAAACATTTTGTGTGTACTCCAATTGTAAAACTCATCATACTGCCTAAAATGATTTGTGTCTTTTACTCTGTTCACCCTTGACAAGAGATACTTGGAGGGTATAGACCTGGTGACTGTCTTTTGGAACTCCATCCTCTGCCATAGTGTGCCATACAGAGTGGGAGCTTAGTAAAGTATCTCTGTGTACTTTGGCAGTAACTATGGCTAACTCTAGTTTCCCTGTGTCATTCTTCTCTCCAGAGACAGAGTTGTCGACTCTTAAAAACACATAGAATATCAATGGCAAATCATGATGGGAGAGAATTCTATTGGGTTATGATACTTATGTGGTAAATGCAGGAATTCTAAGTCAGTATTGAAGAAGATGAAGATGTATGGGAAGAGAGAATTGTTGTGTATTTAATTTAAAATCCTTATGGTTTGAGATTAGATTTCTGGAAAGAATATGATCCATTTTAGTTGTGTTGTAATTTGCTTTCTAAAAGTTCTTATGTCTTAAAGTTGGTTTTTTGAAAAAGATGGCTACCATTCCACTTTTCTTTTTCATATATGTATTAATGTTTAGCAAAAAATGATTTGAAAAATTAGTTATTATAAAGCTAAGTGAGATATAAGCAACTTCACATGATGGATGGGCTTTTGACTCTGCATACCTAAGGATAATTGTTGAATAGTAGTCAGAAGTCCTATTTTACTTGAGAGCCTATGAATAAACTGTAAGTAGTTCTTAGATTTGACATTTCTAACCTTCATCTTTTTATCAAATGAGTGAAATGTGAACTTACAATTGTTACCTGAGTTTTTTCCAATGTTTTCCTAAAAGTAGACAAAAGACTAGAATTATATATTTGACTATATTATTCAGAAATTCTGAATTACTTCATTTATGACATTAATGTGTTTTACTGTGTTAGGCATGGTTTTATGCACTGTGTTTAATTTTATGAACATATTGCACAGTCATAGAAACGTATTAGCATAGTTTCATTTGTTTGGTAGGCCTGTATTTAAATAAAACAAGACAATTTTTAGCTATTTTTTTGTTTATTTATCCTATAATGCTACCCTATAGGGATAATAAAGCAAATAAAGTCATTTTCTTTGTCGTTTTAGCTTCAGACATTCAAGACTGCCTCACCTTGTCAAGATGTCAGACAGCTGACTAATGGAGTTGCCATGGCACAAGTTCTTCATCAAATGTGAGTGTGAATTTCTTGGTTTATGGCAGCATAACCCCAGCTTCCTCTTCTGTCTTCACATGGTTGCGTTCCCTCTGTGTGTCTATGTCTCTTCTAAGGATTACAGCCCTATTGGATTACAACCCACTCTGACTCAGGTTAAGTCCATTTTACCTGATTACATCTGGGAAGTCCCTCTTTCCCATTACATTTGGAGGTACTGTACCAAGGGTTAGAACAATTTAAAAATAGGTTTTTTTGTTTTGATTTGTTTTCTATAATGGCTGTACCTACAGCTACAAAGAATGCATGCCACTTCCCTAAAAGAAAGGCTTGGCCTTCTTACTTTAAGCACCATTAACCTCTCTACCTGTTTCTGTTGCCTTTGGATTTATTATTTCGTAAAAGAGAGAAAAGTGAGATGGAGAATGTAGAATATCCACACATTTATTTGTTCAATCATACAGCATGTTTTTGAGTACTGTATCTAAAATGATAAACATGATAAGCAACATCTGAGTATTTACTAAAGACATCTGTAGACTATATTATGTAAGTTATTTCATCTAATTTTTACTCCTCTATCAGGTAGATACTATTTTTACCTTCAATTTATACATGAGAACAGATGATAGAGAGGTGACACTGCTTTTAGAAAGTCAACTAATGAGTAAATTGCAAAGCTAGGGTTTGTATCAGTTTGGTCTGACACCAAAGCCATTGCCTACAAATCAGCTGTAATAATTGAAACCTTTTATTTTAAGCCCTTCTGATAGATCTTTACTTTGAGGTATTAATAAAATAAAAATAAATAAAATTCATACATCCATGTCCAAAATACAGATCACAGTTTGATCTGTTGATCACAAGAAGGCTTTGATAATTCAAGAACAGTAGTCTCAGGGATTCCTTTGAAGTGACACAACAGTTACTTACAGTAACTAGTAGGTAGTAGTTACTACCTGAATTTTGTTGATGAAATTGTTGAAGACAAATGCAGATGCCATGGATGGAGTTAAACATAATCATGTAATAATTTTTCTTAGCTTTATTAGAAAATAATTGGGCCATATTTTGCTTAATAAGTGCTCTGTCCCTTTCTTATTTAGTGTTCCTTGAGTGTCATTGAGATTCTGAGAAATACAAGAAAAGAAGTTATTGTTGAGGAACATGCTAAGACTTATAGATGTAGCAATGTAAAAAGAAAAAAAAATATTCCCAGAGATTTCTGAAGTTGAATATCAAGTGAGAAAGATTAGCTACCAAAATTGTTTGAGAATGGGTCAATTTATTTATAAGAAAGAAAACACGAGATATGTTCCTGTGGAGAAGTTACGAAGCATTTCTCGGGGCTGAAGAGGATTTGGGAAGGAAAGAAAGATGAGGAATGTAAGATAAATGAAGGAATTATCTTGGAAAAGCTACAAAACAGAATAGAATTAATCTCTAGATCTAGTTTGTAAAGGTAATTCATCATAGGATCATGTACTGGACTTAGATGTTTTTCAGGACCACTAGAAGATTAGCATGATAGTCAGAGTTCTGCAAAAAAGCAGAACCAGTAAGGTAACCGTTAGAGCGTTCTTGCATGTGTGTGGTGCACGCATGCACAGATACTTATTGTAAAGGGTTGGCTGAAATCATTGCACAGGTTTACAAGTCCAGAATCTGCAGGTCTGTCAGCCACCTGGAGACCAGAGAAGAGGAGCCAGAAGGAAGATGCCCTGACATGATTTGCTCTTTTTTAGGAGGACATCAGTCTTTCTTTTTCAGCCTTCAATTGATGGGATAAGCCCCATTCACATTGTAGAGGGTACTCTGCTTTATTTCGGCTACCAATTTAAATGTTGCTCTTACTTTAAAAAATTATTACCGCAACCTTTAGATATGATTCTCTGCATATCAGAGTAATATGGCCTAGTCAAGTTGACACCTAAAATTAACTATCATAGCCAGATGTGGTGTGTGCCTATAATCCCAGCACTCGGAGAGACTGAGGCAGAAGGATCCCAGGTTCAAGCTCAGCCTGGGCAACTTAGCAACTTAGTGAGATTCTGTCTCAAAATAAAAATTAAATAATTAAAGGTCTGGGTATGTAGCTCAGTGTGATGAACCTGGTTTCAACCCCCAGTAATTAAAAAAAAAGTAACCATCCCACCTGACATGCCACATTTGAGACTTTTCGATTACGTATTCTGCTGTAAAAAGAAAGGCAATTTACTTTCACAGTTTTTACTGATGAAATTAGTTCAGTCATTTCAAGTAAATATCTGGCTAGCAGTATATCATTTATTTTTTTTATTTTTGGGGGTGGGGGTTGATCTGCAAGTTTATTTCATACAGCACACATTCACAGAGAGCTATAACGGCGTTTCAACACCTGTCATCTCTGCAGAAAAATATCTGAACTTCATTTTTAGGGTGATTGTCTCTGCCTTATATATGAAAGCTAGTGTATAAAAATAGTTTTTAAACTTAAGGCATCCTGCCCTAATCTATAACAAAGGTACAGTACTCAAGGCAGCAAACCATGAAGGATTAGAAAGAATAATTATCTCCTTTTACAAATCCAAGACTGGTGGCCAGAAGGAATAACTGGTCTACTTCAAACTCTGAGTCAACACTATGAAACTCATTAGCATTAGGACAAGGTATCTGCATTATTCCAGCTTTATGGAATCATATGCCTGGGTGTGCATGCATGTGTGTGTTATGTGTGTGTGCAGACATGCATGTGCTTCTCACGGGGACTGAGGAATAATGCTGCCCCCGTACTCACTTGCAGCCAGTGCTGAGAAAAGCAAGCACATTTTAGTAACATATCCCAAACCTGAGTGCATGCTGAAGGATGACAGGACTGAGGAGAACAGACAGGAAAAGGTGATAAATGTTCAGCATTTAGGGGACTTCAACACCACCAGGAGACAGCAGCTAAATACTGCTTTATGTACATAACAAAAATAATCCCTGTTTTTGTAGTTAAATCCCAGTATGTACTTCAAAAAGAAATGATGTACTGATGATAGTGATGGATGCTGTTGCCCAATGAGGTCTTCAGGACGCCCAGCATTTGGGGGTATGGCTGCCAGGCACTAAAGTCAGCAGAATGAAATAGACGTGTGCCGTGGTGAAATGTGACTGGATCATGCAACCTTCAGTATCTGTGTACTGGCAACAGTCAAGCAGTATATCATTTATATATTTCAATTGTTTTGATAATTGTAGTCTCACCATCTGTAAAAAAGTTGGGTGCAGCTAACATAAATTTACTCAAAAGAAAATAGTTACAAATTCCAAATAAGTTAATTGAAAATGTTGAAGCCGTTTTTTGGTTATACTAGCCAGCATGGCTAAGCAATGTGTAATTGTTTCAGTTTTGCAATTTTAAATTTAAGATACAGCCTTGGAAAAGAAGGCCCCTGCCCCCATATTTTAGTTGGCCTATTCATAAAGTAAAAATGTCAATGAGAACTTTAAACTACTTCAGCACTGACATTCTGTGATTTTGTAACTGTTTAACCCTTAGAACGTCATCGCATTCTTTTTTGTGCTTACTTTCTTTCTTTAATAGCTATTTCTCTGAGTCAAAATAGTAAATTTTTCATCTTCATATCAGTCTTAGAGCACATGGTATCCATATTTGTTTAGAATATAATCTATTAATATAGTTCGCTAAATATAGTTAGTTGTCCTTCAAAACCTTATTAAATACATAAAAACTTTGTATAGCAATTATTTGTCTTGATCTTTGGTGTCAGTATAGGACTTCTAATTAACAGTAAACTTAGCTTTGTAGATTTCTTAGTCAAATTGATTTACTTTGCACTTTGCCATGTACTAGTGTCAGTTGGGGTAAATTACTTAGCCTTCCTCACACCCAGTTTCCTGAATAGGAAGATTGAGAATAGTAATATATCCTTCATCAATTTACTATGATGTTTAAATGAAATATGGTAGATACCCATTAAAATGTTCATTTTCTTCTTACCCTTTCAGAGTTGTTACTTTTAGGTCTTGCTAGCGAGATGTCCAACATTAAATATTTAATAAGTATTTGTTAAACTGAAGGTGTTTAATGGCTTAAATAATTTAATATGACAAGCCTAAGTGAAATCCTTAAGAATCACAAAAAATTCATTGGACTTAACCAAATATTTACAAATTTTATAAGGATAGGCTGTAAGCTTATAAAGCAACTTTCCCTGTTGATTCAATTTGATATTTTAAATAATAAAAACATTTTAATGTTTAACATTTATACTTCTATTTTAGTGATATGGCTTGGTTCAATGAATCCTGGTTAAGTCGAATTAAGGAGGATGTTGGGGACAACTGGAGAATAAAGGTATGAGTGGGAGTAGCACTTGATCCACACAGAGGCCCTAGTATTAACATGAAGGTCAACTGCGTCTTTTTAAAAAAATTAATTTGTGAGTGCATTTTATTGTGTACAGTTGAAGTTTTGACATGTGTATGCTGTCATGTAATTACCATCATAATTAAATAAGAACACATCTTCATGAACCGGTAGCATGCACTTGGAGTTCTTCACAGTTCCCTTTAGCCCTGTTCTGAGCTCAGGTTACCGCAGATCTGCTTTGTGTCACTATAGATCCCATGTTAAGAGCTCCATATAAGTGGACCTGTACAATATGTACTATTTATGCCTAGGATCTGTCAGTTAGAATAATGTTTTGGGACTTAGCCATTTTGGTTTATTAGTGGTAACTCCTTGTTTTTTTTGCTGTGTAATTCATTTCATTGATATACCACAATTTGTTTAGCTGTTTATTTGTTGAATTTATTTGTTGATAGGTGTTTGAATTGTTTCTGGGCTTATTATGAATTCAACAGCCGTGAATATTCATGTATCAGTATTTTCTTAGACATATAGTTAATTTCTCTTGGGAAAGTTTGAGAGGATTTGCTAGTTGTATAAATATATTTTTATCATATCAGAAACTGCAAAACTGATTCTCTGGTTTTTGGGTTTTTTGTGTTTTTTTTGGTACTGAGGATTGAACTTGGGTCATGCACTTGCGCAGCAGGTGGCGAAACCACTGAGCTAAATCCCCAGCCCCTGATTCTCTGTTTCTGAAATGCATTCTTTTCTGTTTTGTTGTGTCTTTAGGGAATGTGTTGGTTTCATATAAGTTGTCTAATTTGTTGGCATACAGTTGTTCATAACAGAATTATTCTGTTAATATGCTAATTACTATATGATCTTTAAGTGATGTTTCATCTTTCCTAATATTGATAATTAGTGTTTTTATATTTTTCGCTTAGTGTTTTTTTTTCAATTTGTATGTTACTTCAAATAGCTATTTACTATTTCATTCATTTCCTCTTTGTTCATATTTCCTTTCTTCTGTTAACATATACTCTTCTTTTTCTTGCATCTTAAGGTAGAAACTTAAATATGTCAATTTTAGGCCTTTTTTCCACTTACATTAAACACTGCCTTAGCCCCATTCTACACATTTGGACATACTGTGCTCTTATTTTCATCCAGGCTAGCATATTTGATAATTTTCCGTGTGATTTCTGTTTTTATCTAGGGGTAGTTTAAAAGTAGGTAGTTCAAATTCTAAATCTTTTATTTATTGAGTTCTAGTATAATTATATTATGGCTAAGAACATACTCGTATGACAAATTCTTTTACATGTACTGAAACTTACTTTATGACCTAACTATGGTGTCTGCGTACTTGAAAACATCATATTCTACAGTTGTTCTATAAATATGGATTATGTCAAATATGTAGATAGTGATGTACATATCTTTCATATTTTTATTGATTTTTCAGTCTAGTTATTTCAGTTACAGAGGGGAGCAGTTCTTAATTGTGTGACAGTGACTGTGGTTTTGTCCATTTCTCCTTTCAATTCTGTTAATTTTATTTCATGTAATTTGAATTTCTATTGTTAGGCTCATTGCACTTTTTAAAAATAATTTTCTGTTGAAGAATTCTGCTGTAATGTTTTTGTTTTTATTGGGGAAAAGTGTTTATTATCACTCATCTTGACATAAATTTTCTTTCATTATTAATATGAAATAAAAATCTATTTCTTACTCTTTTTTCACATTAGGCTAGTAATTTAAAGAAGATCCTTCAAGGAATTATGAGTTATTACCATGAGGTATGAAAAAAGTATCTGACTTTAAATACAAAATAATTATATTGATATTGAAAAAAATGACTTGGCTTTTTATTTACAATATGCGAATGTAATTCGTAATTGAAACATTTTATTATTGCCATTTTTAGAGCATACAAGTTTTTTGAAAATCACATTTGAAGTTCAGATAATGGATTTACAATAAAAGTTGCTTTTATATTAATACTTATTAAGTAGATTACTTTCTCAAATAAAATTTCTTTAATTATTACTTAATGATTGGTAGTTTTTAGTTGATTTTATCATTAAAATTTTTTGTTTCTATTTTTAAGGTTGTCACACAAACTTGTGGTTTATTTAAAAATATTTTAGTACTTTCCTAAATTTTTGAATTCACTAAATTCCTAAAATTCATTTTGAAGCTTTACTCAATGCCAAGAAACTTTTTAATAAGCTTAAAAAAATGGTCAGGAAAAATTAATCCATTCCATATGTTGTTCCATTTGTAAAGTGCAGTAGTTTATCTTGCAGTTATTGATCGTACATAAACATAAATATCATTTGGTTTAACATACGTTTTGTTATAGTAGACTCCATTGTGCTTTTTAAATTAAATGAATCTAACAATGGAATCAAATCAAAAGTAAATAAAGTTGCTTATAGTTGGTTACTCAAAATATTGAGAGATTGCCTGCATTTTGCTTACTAGTTTTGATCAATAGTTATTGATTTATCATTTGTTAATTTGAGTTGTTTCATATACTTAATTTTTCTTTTACAATTAATGTAGAAAGTTTTTATATATAAATGAGTGATCTAACTTACTATTTTGATACTGCAGTTTTTGGGGCAGCAGATTTCTGAAGAACTTATTCCTGATTTAAACCAAATAACTGAATGTTCAGATTCTGTGGAGCTTGGGAGATTGCTCCAGCTTATTTTAGGTTGTGCAGTCAACTGTGAAAAGAAACAAGGTAAGTGAATTTCAACCAACTGAGGTTTTCTACCTTCTAGAAAACCCCCCACATTGCTATCATATATATTATCATTTTCAAAGTATTGTTAAAATTTATTGTTATAGCTTGGCAGAAAGCAACCTGAAATATAAACCAGAGAATCTGAATTCTAGTCCTCTGTCATTATAAAGCTCTGTATCTTGAGTTCCTGTTTGTACCTGAGTTCTGATACTCAGTAAGTAAATTAAATGTATTTTATTCTAGGTTAATTTAATGTAACCAGTGTTTAGAACTTGATGAATATTCAATAAATTGTATTTCTCTGATAGATTATCTATTTTGTAAGATCAGTTGACTCAGTTTTCCACAAATAAATATTCATCTAATTATAATCTGGGCTTCTTCAGATAATATTCTTTCTGGAATACCTGCCTAGAGTATCTCCTGATAAGTGTGATGATACAGGTGGAATTGTGCATTGTATTAATATATCCAGAGTGATCTATATTCTGCTGAGTATAAAAAGATCATTTTTGGTTTCATGTAATGAATAAAATTATGAACAGAAAGACCTAAATTTCCCTTTTGTGGGAGCTCATAAGGTGGGGTGGTGAGAGTTTTGACACTTTTTGTTTTTGTTTTCTGTGTGATTCATCCAAACTTTGTTATAGTATACTACTTTATAAACCTTTGGCACGTTGCATTGTGTAGAGTGCTTGAAAAAAACATTTAGTTGCTTAAGTGTATAAGATAGAACCTCACTGACCACATTCAGCATTGTGACTGAAAGCTACAGTACAGGAGAAGTTCAATGAGAACAAACTCGAGAAGCGGAAAAATAACAACGAATCAATTGTGGTTAACCAGTAAAAAAAAGATAGGGATTAGATATCAGAAAACTTTCATGTTAGTCCATCTCTGTCATTAAGTAGCTAGTTTTCTTTTCTAGGGCAAGTATTTCTTTATATGCTTTTATTTCTCACAGAGAATGTCAAAGACCTGTGTATTGGACTTTTTTATAAACATAAAAGCCATTTTCTTATGGAACCTTAAAACTTCCCTAAGTGTTTAATCACAGTTTGGCAAGTAATTCACGTGTAAATCTAGTAGCTTTTTTCTTTTATAATTGTGATTCTTTTTTAGTTTTGCTTTGAGTAATTTTTTTTTCTATTTTAATTACTGGTTATTTGTAACTTATTTTTGCTTAATTGTTACCAAGTTTTTTATTCATTCCAGAGAATTGTTTGTCTTTGGTTCTATTTTTTTAACTTTAATTTCTTTTATCTTTTTTTTTGTAACTTAACTATTTCTACTCTAAGCTGTAATTGACATTTTGCTATAATTTTCCCTGAAAGTGATGATTCTGTTGCATCCTGCAAATTTGGATAGAAAATATAATATGTTCATAATTTAGATCCAAGTGTTACTAAACAATTTTGTCCTTATATTTTTGAAAGGAAATTCAATTCCTGGCTACACAAGAAAAAAATTTTAACAAGTAGTGAGTATGAGGAAATAGTTTCATTTTCATTACTAAAAAAATCAGAAATATCTAAATATAAAATTAGATTTATTTTTGAAAATAAGTGTGTTCTCCATTTTTAGGTGTGAGCAGGTAAGTGAATAAATAATTTAATTAAAATTTATTAAAAAAATTTACAAACAAAACATGTCTGGGATAAAAATAACTTTCATACGTTGGTACTGTGCACTGAGAATTGATTTTCAGAATGATTTCAGGGTACTACAGCAATCTCAATCTTATAAGAATGGGCTGATTTGATCGCAATATTTTTTGTGATGGGGAAGAAGGTTATTTTTAGAAAGGTTTCTGCAAACTTGAAACAATTTATTATTTAGGAAATCCACTTAAATGAAATAAATCCCGTCACCCATGAAACTTCCTAGTTTGTTCTTTTTCTCTCCCTTAGTACTTACTGGGTCAGATGCATACTACAACCTACCAGACTATTTATACAATTTCTGACTTCACAAATGAAGATTTAGAGGACTTTTAGGAGTTTCCAGAAAAATCAAAACAATAAAAAATGTTAGAAAACTAGTAAATCCTTAGAATTTTGGAGCAGTTGTTTTAGCTGGAGAACATACAGTTGAAGTGGGTTTAAACCTGTATATACACGAAGGACTCTTTCTTAGAGTTTCACATTTACTCTCTGGACAAATCATCTCAACTTACTGCATATGAGTTTGTGGTGAGATATTTTAAACTTTTGTGGTGAGACAGCGCATGCTGAGCAGGAGTTTACAGAAGACCATAGAAGTCCCTTTGAAAGCCTTCCTGGGAAGAACTAAGGAGGGGAGAAATGAAACTTTTTGCACTTAAAATTAGACAATTATTGTCATAATTGTTTTAAGATTAATTGTAGTATCTTTTTTCTTATAATGAGAAAGCATTAAATGTTAATATGAATATTAAACTTATTTTTAATGCACATATGATGAAACTATAGGACTATTTGTAGTAATACATTTTTATATTGTTTATTGGATTGCTAAGGTACTTTGTGCAATGAGTTTTTTGAAATTTTGGTGTTTTTTTAAATCATAGAACATATTAAAAATATAATGACATTGGAAGAGTCTGTTCAACATGTGGTCATGACTGCTATTCAAGAGGTGAGTTATATCATGTTCTCCTAAGCATGGAAATCTTGAGCCAAATTACGTAGAATTTTTCATATAAATTTTATCTTCATATGAACAAATTTTTCTTTGTATAAACTTGCCCTTTGCAGTGGATTTACCTGTCTTTAGCTAGTGTGTCTTCCTTTTTTCCACTCAAAAAATACCATAAAAGGTGATTAAGCCCAATTTTAGCACCTCTGATTATAAAATGTTTGATAAATTAATATTGTTAAGTTCCTTTAACTTCAGCTAATCAGGAAAAAACAGGATAAACAATCTGCAGGTGATAAGAATTTTAATTTCTTCTCTTTTTTTCTACCAATGAGAGAAGAGAAGTCTTTCCTGAGATTGTAGTTTATATGTACCATCTGCCTTTTCAGAATGTTACATTTCTAATGCGATATGGTGGTACTTCTGTTTTCTAGCCAAGTAGCCTGAATTTAAGCTACTCTGATTATCTCAGGAGAGACAGAAGGATTCAGAATTAATACAGTGTGCAGTGCTGATTCTTAGTATCCGGCTAAGACTCGCTTGCAGAGGAGACAAGAGAAAATAGGATGTCCTCACTAATATGCCTGAATACTCTTTTTTTTTTTTTTTTAAAGAGGAGAGGTTTACTTTAGCTCATGTTCAGTAATATTAATGTCCCCACTAATAAGCTCAAACATTATTATTTAGGTAAAATATCTAATAAAATTTTTATTTGAATAATGTTCTAAGGATCATCCTCTTAAGGCAAGGACAAGCTATAATTTTTCCATTCTTTTAAGTAAATATGTTTTTGCTTTATAAGCATCACTTTATTGTACTTAATTTTGCTGTTTTAATTTCCCAGTTGATGAGTAAAGAAATAGTGAGCTCTCCTACAAGTGATGCTGTTGGAGAATTAGAGCAGCAGGTGAGTATTTCAATATGTGATAACAGTGTTGAAAACAGTATTATAGTTCCTCTACCAAGTACTTCTTAAGTATTATGTAGAAGGATGCATACAAAAATACTTCTATAGGTTTATTTTGCTGTTAGATTTCATTTGAATGTTCTTATGCATCCCTTCATTAATGTAAGCACTGGTGGTCTCCAGCGTTTTGTGATTATGTTCCAAGAGTTGAATGGCATTGGACCTTTGACACTTGTCCATATCAGATCTTTATACAGATAGTTAAATGGTAAACAATATCTGAAAAATATTCTGTTTTAATTATAGTTTCAATAATAAGATGATTTTTTTCATTGTTGCTATTCTCTTACCTAATGTTGAAGAGACAGCTCAGTGCTTCAGGATTCTATTACAGGACTATTTTACATGGGAAATTCATTCTCTCCTCATGTACAGCACAGTTTGGTTGTAGGGGAAAGGGTAAGAGGAGAGAAAATTGCAACTTTATGCATCTAGTTATTTTATTTTTACGTATCTTTTTTTCATGAGTGTGACTAGTTATCTCAAGAAGTATTTCAGACTTCTTTGATTAAAATTTTGTTTAAATGCAGATATATTGTTTTTCTAATTTTTTCTGTGATAAAATTAAAAAATACCCCCTCTAATCATTTGAAAATATTTCACAAGGATTCAAATACTTTTATTTCTGTGGAACCATAGCCTTAAATGTTAATGAGAGTATGGCAGTATTATTCACACATAGATAACAAAATTAAGACTAATTTGTTAATAGGTAAATTTTTAAACCTATTTGTAGTATTTGTGTGTGTATTTGAAGAATATATTTTTCTGTTTTTTGTTAAAACATGATTTACTAAGAATGACATTTTATTTTTCAGCTTAAAAGGGCTTTGGAAGAACTTCAGGAAGCACAAGCAGAGAAAGAAGAGCTGAAGCAGAGATGCCAAGAACTGGATTTGCAGGTATGGATGGGACGCCTGGGTGAGGAGGGTCCTCTTGACTCTGACTTACTACCCTAACAGCGAGTTATAGAAGGTCAGTTTCACTTCTCAGAGGAGACACTCAAGGCATTTGGTAGAAGTGTCAGTATTTAAACATGGATTTCATAAGTATTTTTCACTGAAAGTTGAAAATTACTTCCCTATTTCTTTGGAAAAATCATGCTAATTGAAGGACTTCTGCTATTCTGATGAAGACTCAGTTTTGTCTCTTATAAAATGGCAAAATTAAAATATCTATAGTTTATGAATATTAAATGAAATAACTTACTCTTCTGTCTTGTGTGTGTGTGTAGTCTTATGCTGTTTGTTTTGCTAATGTGTATATGTGTATGGATATATTTATATATAAATTTACATTCATAAACTTCTCATGAGCAGCAACAGTTAATGCTTAAAGGGGTAGACAGTCAAACAGGCTCTCTATATTAATAACCTAGCCATTTACTAGTTCTTTGTATGCACTTGGGTGAATTAATTTCTCTGTACTTAAGCTTTCTCTTTTACATTTCTGCTGTAAGAGTCTTAAGGTCAGAAACTCTTATGCTTTTTTATCTGAATCACTTAGAATTATATGTGACAGCAGGGGATTTAGCTCAGTGGCCTAGTCTGAATTAGAATCATGAACTCCCAACTCTAAGAAGCTTTTTGCTATTAATCCTTGTATTTGTGTGTTTGTTTTTTAGGTGACAACACTTCAAGATGAGAAGAATTCACTGGTTTCTGAGAATGAGATGATGAATGAAAAACTTGACCAGTTGGATGGCTCTTTTGATGATCCAAATATGATGGTTGCAAAAAAGTATTTCCATGTACAGTTACAACTGGAACAATTACAGGAAGAAAACTTCAGGTAGAAATTATTTAGTAGGGTTGTCTGTTAAACTAGTAGCTAAAAGATCATAATATTAGATAATATTAATAACATTAATTATATATATATACACACACATATACACACACTCACACACTAGGAGTTCAGAGGAGTAATTCCTAAACCTTAGGAAAAATACGAAGTTTTTCACATAGAGAGGTAATCTGAAAATAAACAGAAAAATGTAAGTCTTAGACTACAGAGATACTTTTCACTTCAATGTTTATATTTTTTAAAAAAATCATTAGTAGTCTACAAATTATTTCCATCCTGGGAGAATGTGAGTCAGATTTGTTTATAAGTCCGACAAAGTGAGTCTTTACACTTTTGATGCAAATATACAATGTAAAGCATTAAAGGAAAAATCAGACCTCCACATCATCACTTTTTTCTTGTTCTAGATTTTGTCAGTGGGAAGCCTGTCGGTTGGTGCCATGTTATCTCTTTCTTTGGGCGCTTTCTTACTTTCTGACACAACAAAATATTCCGCACTCATTGTCTTTAACTTAGGATAATCTAATTAAGTTTAATATTTTATCGCTTTATATGCTGTGTATATTTTTAAATAATTATTATGTTTATCTTATGCATATTTTTCATCTTTTGAAATTAAAATTTTGGTTAGAAGTAGGAGATAACAGTGCTGGCTTTGGCAGCACCTATACTAAAATTAGAAGTAGGAAATACAAGTATAGTGTTTCAAAAGTAAGAATAGTAAGTTTGTTTCCCTTGTCTGTTGCAAAATTAAAGCCAGAATGTGTCTTATTCCTTCAGTCTCTCCTATTTTGAATGTAAAATTTAAATATATCATGCTAAGGTCATGTCCAAATAGGAAGGCAAGTGATGGAAATTATACATTTCTTTGTTCAAGACTGGAAGCTGCGAAAGATGATTACCGTGTTCACTGTGAAGACCTTGAAAAGCAGCTGGTTGAATTTCAGCATAGAAATGATGAACTGACTGGTATTGCTGAAGAGACAAGAGCCCTGAAAGATGAAATTGATGTTCTTAGGTGTGTCTTACTGAAATACAATTATATTGCTTACGTAAGTTATTAGTTAGCTTATTTGAGAGTTCCATATTTTATTCATGGATTCTTAGGCTATCCTTGGGTCTCAAATATTGATCAGTTCTTTATTCAGGCTCCTAGTCTTTTATGCCTATTACACTTAAGGGTAATATTTAATTCTTGTTAGGACAGTTTCATATTAGAACTTTTAAACCCAAGATGAGACTTTTTCTTAAAATTTTCTGAATGATACATTTACCTTGACCTTGTGCCCATTATTATATTTTGAGAAATTTTTTGCAAGGATATGTATTATCATAGTTTATATTTTGGCATTTGATAGAAGAATCTTACTGTTTATTTCATGGGTGATTATCTTGGCAATATAAAGTTTATATTTAAGTTTTGCCTATGAAATGTTATCCAATAAAGAAACTGGACAGATGGCTTTGTGTATTTTCTGTTAAATTTTCTTAATTAGTTATTTTTTTGCAGTCTTAACAAAATTGTTGCAATGAAAATTTGTAGCAAACTATACAGTCATTAATTTGGACCCATATGAATTAGTGACTTATTTATCTTGCGCAATTCTAAAGAAAAGTTTCTTGTCAGACAAATTTTAAAATGAGCCAACTTTCTAAGTATATCAAACATTTGGAATAAACTATGCTAAATGATACATGCAAAGCAAAGTTTTCCTATAAACTACAGAATAGCTTATAGTTTGCTCAGTTGCATGCCCTAAGTTACTCCTTTTTTTAATATTTTGGGCTAAAAACAGCTTGATAACTTAATGTGTCAAAGTTGAGGTATTTTTAATTTTGATATCTTCATAACAAAAATTGATCCCGAGTTCGATCTCCTCCGGTACCAAAAAAAAACCCAAAAAACAAAATAGAAGTAAATAGGGCCAGGGATTTAGCTCAGTGGTTCTGGTGCCTGCCACACAAGCGCAAGGTCCTGAGTTTGATCCCTACCCCGGAACCAAAAAAAAACAACAAAAATTGAACATCAAATAATTCTAAGCACAAGTGTATTGTACCTAGGAAGATTCATTTTACAGCCAGAAGAAAATTGATACATGCATATACTAGATTTACACAATAATACTTTATCTTAATTATTAAAGGGCTACCTCCGATAAAGTAAATAAACTGGAATCAACAGTTGAGATATATCGTCAGAAGCTACAAGATCTAAATGACCTCCGCAAGCAGGTGAAAACTTTACAGGATGCAAACATGATGTATATGCATAATACAGTCAGCTTAGAAGAAGAACTGAAGAAGGCAAATGCAGCACGTACACAGTTAGAAACATACAAAAGGCAGGTAAGACTATCTTAATTTTAATTGATATAATTGAGAGAGTTCAACATTGTTACTCCATTTGGTCCTTTAAGAATGATAAAGAAACTAAGAAGCATTTTGTATAATAATCTGTAAATTTCTGAAGAACTTCTATCTGTAATTTTAATGTAAGGTTTGATAAAAGAATTTGACTTATCTGGGTCTTAAACTCATTGCCTTCTGATCTTAATTTTTTAATTATTTATACATTTCTGGAAATCAGTGTCAGATGCCTAGAGTTTGATAGAAAATGAAACTGTGACCTCAAATACTCTGCTCCTCTATTCATTAAACAACCTAGAGAAATATTAAAGACCACTGTTTAACATTTTTAGCTTATTGAGTATTTCAGTATTCTTTTTTTTCCTACATGCTGTTTTCAAATGTTTAGATTATAATTTTAGCATTGACATTTTTTTTCCAACCAGTTTTCAGTAACTTATCTCTGAAAGGCCATGAATATTATATACTGTTGTTTTTTACTTTTTTTCTGACCAAAGGTTCAGGACCTGCACCTTAAACTCTCCTCTGAATCCAAAAGGGCAGACACTCTAGCATTTGAAATGAAGCGGCTTGAAGAAAAACATGAAGCTCTACTTAAGGAAAAAGAGGTGGTCATAAATACATTTGATGCCTTTGCTCTTAGTAGTATCTGCTCATTCTCTTTTGATATTGAACTTGATATAAACATCCTACCAAAATTACTATTACTTCTCCATATTTTACAATACATTTTATTTTTGGTTGGCCTATATAAGATATACATGTTAATGAGGTTCTGTGTGATATTTCAACACGTGTACACTGTGCACTAATCAAATTGAGCCTCCTTTATCCACTTCCTCCCCAGCTTGTAATCACTAGTCTACATTCACGCTGACTTTTCTTAGGTTGTGCATATGAATCAGAACTTGTGGTACTTGCCTTTTGTCTGTCTTACTTTACAAAATGTCCTCCAGTTCCATCCATTTTGCTACAAGTGATAGGATTTCATTCATCTTTTTTATTAGTACATGTTTTTAGATACATAATAATTTTGCAGGTATGTAGTATTTTGAGCATTCTTTATCACCTTTCTCTTGTCCCTTCCCCTCTTCTCCCTTTTCTGGATTCCCTTCTCATTTCTGAAAAGTCTACCCCCCTGTTCCCTGTTACTTCTCCTTTATTTTGCTCTTTAAATTACTTATGTTTCTCACATTTGGGGGTGGGTACTGGGGGTTGAACTCAGGACCTTGCGCTTGTGAGGCAGGCACGGTGTCACTGAGCTAAATCCCTGGCCCTAAATTGCTTATGTTTCTAAAACCATGCAATATTAATAACCTTCTGCATCTGATTTATTTTACTTGTTTTTATCGTTTCAAGTTTCATCCATTTTTCTCCAGTTGACTCAAATTTATCCATCTTTATGGCTGGTGATACTCTACTATTTATACATACCACATTTTCTTTATTCATTTATGTGTTAATGGGAATCTACTTGTACTTACAGTTTAGCTTTTGTGAATTGCACTGCTATAAACGTGGGAATGCATGTTTCACTGTACCTTTAACACTTTCAGGAAGATACCGAGGCTGGGTCAAATGGAATTTCTAGTATTAGTTTTTTGAGGAATCCCCACACTGATTTCCAAAGTAGTTGTACTAGTTTACTTCCCACAAACAGTGTAGAAGGAAGGGTTCTTTTTTTCCACATCCTCGCTAGCATTTGTTGTTTTGAGTCCTTGATGACAGCCATTATTACTGGAGTAAGATGGCATCTCAGCATTGTTTGATTTGCACTTCTCAAGTGACCAGAGATGTTGAGCATTTTTTCCTGTACTTATTGGCCTTTTGTACTTCTTCTTTTGAGAAGGGTCTGTTCATTTTATTGACCCAGTTTTTGATTGGGTCTTTTGGATTTTTTGTTTCATGAAATTGGGGGCCAATATTTACATATATTATACATTATGTATATTCACCATATGGATATATATAATTGTTACCTCCTATTGAACTCTTTCTTTTACCAATATTTAGTGACCTTCTTTGTCTCTTAAGGTCACTTTCAGCACATCAGGTCTAAGAACTTAGCACACTACTAATGCAAGATGTTGGCAGTAGGGAATTGGGAGTGGAGTTACGGTGGCATAACAAGTTTACGCTTCCTGTTCACTGTCTCTGTAACCCTAAACCTGCTCAAAAACAGTCTCCTGGTAAAACACTTCCAAATTACTTCACCAGAAATGTCAGGGCTTAGCTTTGGCCTTTCATTTCTCTATCACAGATCTGTATATCTAGTTTAAGCTCATGTACACTGCCCTGGTTACCTCATTTTGAAATTGGAAGGTGTGAGTACTTCAACTTTGTTCTTATTTTCCCTGAAGGGTATTTTTGTTATTCTTATTTCTAGCATTTTCTTAGGAATCTTAGGGTCAACTTGTCAATTGCTGCCAAAAAAAAAAAAAAAGCTAGCTGCAATTTTGATAGGGACTGCCTGAATTTGTACACCAATTTAGAAACATTGCCATCTTAACACTAATAATTTTCTGATCCATGAATGTGAGATATCCTACCACTTATTTAGTTCTTTAGAGTCTTTCAACAATGTTTTTTAGCTGTCAATGTGTAAGACTTGCACCTTTTAAGAATTCCTAAATATACTCTTTTACTTTTATTCCAAAATAAATGCCAACTTGTATTTGTGACCAACTACCACTTGATCATAGTAATACAATCCTTTTTATATGTTTTAGAATTCATTTTACTGATATTTTCTTCAGTAATTTTCCATCTAAATTATAGACGCGATGATTGTAGTTTTCTGGTAAGGTCATTACAGGCTTTCTTACGAAACTCATAGTGGCCTGATAGAATATGCTGGGAAAATTTCCCGTTTTTGTGAAGTTTGTGAAAATTCTGTTAATTATCCTTTAAATGTTTGGTAGAGTTCAGTAGTATGAACTAAGCTTTACTTGTGGATTGCATCTCTTCAGTTGTTGTTCAGATTCTGTTTCTTCTTGATTCAGTAGTTTGTGTCTTTCTAGAGATTTGTTCATTTAATCTACCTAATTTATTGGCTCATGATTGTTAATAGTTACTTCTTATAATCTTTTTATATTCTAACAAGAGGATTTATGTAAGTAGTAATATTCTCTCCTTTTATGATTTTTATAAGTTGTGTTTCTCTTTCTTTTTTCTTGGTTATTTTAGCTAAGATTTGCAAATTTGTTATTCTTTTCAAAAAACCAACTTGAGGTTTGTTTGGTTTTCTATTTTTTCCTGTTCTCGATTTCATTTATTTATTATTATTATTATTATTATTATTATGTTTTTTGTTTGTTTGTTTTTTGGTACCAGGGATCCAACTTAGGACCTTGCGCTTGCCAGGCAGGCACTGTGCTACCGAGCTACATCCCTGGCCCTATTTTTGCCCCAATCTTTACAGATTCCTTGTAAAGGAACACACATTTCTTTGTCTAATTTGTTTTGTTTTTTTTTTTGGTACCAGGGATCAAACCTTGGGTCCTTGCGCTTGCGAGGCAGGCAGTGGAACCACTGAGCTAAATCCTTGGCCCTTTTTCTAGTTTCTAATGTAGAAATTTAGATTATTGTTTTGAAGTTGATTTTTAATATAGGTATTTAGACCTGTAGATTTTCTTCTTAGTATTTATTGTGCTGCATCCCATAAGTTTGGGATACTGTATTTTTATTTAATTCTTCTCAATTTATTTTTTACTTTTCCTTATGATTTCTCCTTTCATACGTGGTTACTTAGGACTGACTTGTTCAGTTTCCATATATTCATGAATATCTCTGATTTCTTTCCAGTTCGTTGATTTTCCCTTAATTCCATTGTGATGAGAGAATATACTTCATATTATATTTTTAATCCTGTTAAATTCATTGAGGCTTGCTTTATGGCCTTATGTATGGTCTGTTCTGGAGAATGTTCATGTATGTTTAAAAACAATGTTTGCTGATGTTGGGTACAGTTTTGTGTATATGTCTGTTTGGTCTAATGGTTTATAATATTCATATATTCCATTTGTGTTGATATTTTGTATAGTGGTTCCATCTGTTATTGAAAGTGGGCTATTCAAGCCTCCAGTTATTATTGCTGTAATTACATATCATCATAAGAGAAAGTATCCAATTATGAATCCACTTGTGTTTAGCATAATTACTAACAAGAGAGTACATAAGCCTGAGATTGTGTTTTGTATGTCCTCTTTGTACTTCTTGTTTTTCTCTTCACTTCAGTAAGTTTTCAGTTTGTTAATGTTTATCATTTTTGTATCTTCCTGATGGATTGGATCTTCCTTACTATCACAAAGTGTACCTTATTTCTCTAGTAATGCTTAAGAAAGAAAACAGAAATTTGTGTTCTTTTACCAAGGAATTTGTAAAGATCAAAGTAAAAATAAATGACTTGTCTAAAATTGTTTTTGTTTGATTTAAGTGTAGACCTGGGATTACCTTTTGGTTGCTTTTTACTTCCTTTTCCAAACTTTCCTTTTCAAACCATTATTTCTCTGATACTAGATCTGTCGCCTTTATGTAGCATTGAGATGCATCATTTTTAAACAGTCAATTCTGCCAGTATTTTCCTTTTTATTAGAGTTTTTAATCCACTTGTATTTAGCATAATTACTAATAAGTAGAGTACTTAGGCCTGACATTTTGTTTTCTATGTCTTCTTTGTACTTCTATTTCTCTATTCCTCTCTTTTACATCAGATATTTTCTAATATGCCATTTTAACTCCTGTATCTTTTACTATTTTTTTCTAGTATCTTTTAATATTTTTTTCAAACATACCCTGTAATGATTATTATGGGAATTACAATGGGCATTTAACTTGAAACAAAATACTAACTTGATTTGGATAGTATATGGAAAAGTGTTCCAAAATAGAATCTCTTTCCTCTTTTTGCTATTACTGTATTTTCATACAAATTACATCTTTGTATATTATAAACACTTTAAGACACCTTTATAATGACTGTTTTCTATTACTAATTTTTAAGTCAGATTGAAGATTAAAAGGGTTAAATAGTACTTTTACATTTTTTATGTATCTGTGCATTTAGTTAACTGTCAGTCCTCTTTCTTTGGATTCGAATTACTCTCTAGTATTTTAGCACAAAGGGCTCTTTTTAGTATATCTTTCCAAAGCAAGTCTGCTAATAACAAATTCTGTTTTGTTTTGTATTTTTCCCTCACCTCATCTGAAAAAATTTTCAGTTTACTCATATCCAAAGGATCTTTTGCTGGATTTCAAATTCTTCTTTGATAGTCTTTTTCTTTCAGCACTGATCATCACATTGTGTTCTGGGCTTCGTTAATGGAAAGTAAGTGGTTAAACTCATTGAGGATGCCATCTGTGTAAAGAAATCATTTTTCTCTTGCTGCTTTCAAGACTCTTCTTCACTTTTAGCAGTTTGACTCTGATGTGTCTAGGTAATGAGTTTCTTTGAGATCATTGAACTTCTTGGATCTCTTGGTTGTATTTCAAGAAATTTAGAAAAAGGTTAGCCATTATTTTTTCACATATTTTTCTCACGTTTTTCTGAATTTCCCAGCATACATATGTTGGTACACTTGATGGTGTTCCACAGAATTCATACTCTCTTCCTTTTTAGTTTTTAAAAAATTATTCTTCAGACTGGATAGTTTCAACTAGCTTACTTTTAAGTTCCCTATTTTATTCTCTTGCTTAACTGTGCTACTGATCCCATCTATAGAATATTTGTTTTTATTGTACTTTTTAACTCTAGAATTCCTAGTTGGTTCTTTTTATAATTTATCTTACACTCTATTGAGTGAGACATTGTCATAATGGCTTTTAATTCTTTACACATAGTTTGCTTTAGTTCTTTGGAGGTATTTATAATCTATAATTTATAATTTACTATGACCACTCACTAGCTCATCTCATTGGCTGTTTTAGTTGACTGATTTTTTTCCCTCCATATGTAGATTACCTGTTTCTTTCTATATTTTGTATTTTTATTGAAAAACTGACATTTTATAGGATATTTCAAATTTGAGAATCATAATTTTCCCTTAGGGAGAAATATGTTTTATTCTTTGTTTTGGTTTTATTTTAGTGATATTTTGGATAATTCTATAAAGCCTATATTCTTTGTAATGTGCAAACACTAGTTTCTGCCAAGTTAGTATTGTGACACTTGTCAGAGATTTTCTTAGATCCTTTTAACCAATAATAACTCTTTCAGCCTTTGCCAAAGGACTCATTGTGTACTGGGGAGAGCTCTGAGTATTCATAAAATTTATGACTCTGCCTTTGCCTGTATTTCTTGCTTGCATAGGGCTTCAGAGGTGAGATACTGGGGCCTTCTCAGGTATTTTCTTGGCATGTACACAATAGTTTGCCTTTTAGATCTCCAGGAAGCTGTCAGAGCTTTTCATCTCCTCCTGTGTGCCTCCTCTTTCTCAGATCTTCTTGTGCACTTTGACCAGGCTCTTGTTTATCCCCCAGCTAATACCCTAGCCTTCAGCAGTGGTGGTGGTAAACAATTGCTGTGGATTGTTTTTGATATATGCCTCTGGAATATGGCTTTTTCTGCAAAGGAAGCCCTGAATCGGGTCAAATAATGAAAATCTCTGCAAATAGGGCTTCTTTTGGGAGCTTCGGGACAGGTCATATAGTGATCATTTTCTGGGCATGCGGGGACTTTTTAGGAGGAACTTTCTGTCCAATCTGTCTTTCCTGGTGGCTAGTGAAGCTTACTAGTTTTCACAGCTACAGTGAAGAAGCTTCCGACTTTCCAGGCTACTGCATATCTGGAGAAAAGGGGTAGTAAAAGACAAGTTAAAAGGGCAAAAAGCTCACGTTCTAATGAAAGTTTAGCAAATTTACTTTAGTAAATACTTATTACTAAGTGTAGCGGTGCTTGCCTGTCATCCCAGCATTTGGGAGGCTGAGGTAGGAGTATCGCCGGGAGTTAGAGGCCAGCCTGGACTACAGAGTGAGTCTAAGGCCAACCTGAACTACATAGCAGGACCCTGCCTCAAAAGAAAAAATTTTTTATCAAATTAAGGGCCTTTGGTTTATTTCCAGAGTTTTGTAACAGTTGATAAGAACAAGTTTTCTAGTGTTTATGGAAGAACAGATTTATAGAGCTCCTGTGCCTTCATCTCTGTATAATTTATAAGGTACAAAGATCCCTCAGGCATCTGTGGACTCCAGCCTGAGGATCTTTGAGTCAGTTACTAAATTTACTGTGAGGTTGACTTGAACCATGTAACGGATGTTAAAAGGCTTTGTTTATTGACTAGAAACATAATATTTAAAGTATGATTTTTATATTCAGGTTCTGGGAATATGACTTAAATGTGACTTATTCAGAACACAGAGGGCCCACTAGTGTGAACTCTAAAATAGTCAATAATTTGAAGTACCAACATGCTATCCTTGGGAAATGGTGTTTTTCCACAAATTCATACTTCCAAGATGCTACTTAACACTTTTTCCAAATAACAGTGGTAAAAAAAATCTAATCTCCTGCATGTTTTACATACCAATCTGTATTCTAGATGCTTGGTTCTGCCTCATTCATTACTCACAACACTTTGGCAAGGATTTTTGCGTTGGTATTGTAATTTAGAAAATATGGATACAAAGGCTGAAATAACTTGTCCAAGATAGTATAGTTAGGAGATGGTGAAAGTGGAATTCAAACCGTAGTCTCTTTGGCTCCATAGGCCATGCTCATCTTTTTTATCTGTCATTTGTTTGTGAATTTGTACTTTGTTTTATAATTGTATTCATTTAGTTCAAAGATAAACTATGTGATAAGAAATCACAAAGCATGTGTGGTATAAAGGGTATTATTTATGTGACTTATGCAAGAGAAAATTAGTCTCTTAAAACTTAAACATCATTTTTAAGGAGATAATTATCAAGCTAACAAGTTACTATAAGCCGAACTGGAAAGAATTGCATTATTTGCTGATACCAACAATTCTTCTTTAGAGACTGATAGAGCAGCGTGATACTCTGAAAGAAACAAATGAAGAGCTTCGTTGTTCACAAGTACAGCAGGATCACCTAAGTCAAACAGGTGAATTTAGTTAAATTTAAAATTAGTTTTGTTAATGGTTGAAATACTGAAATATTAACCTATTTTTTGTTGTGTAGACACATCTGCTACAAAGAGTTATGAGAATCTTGCTGCTGAGATCATGCCAGTGGAATATAGGTAACTTTCCTTCCATTGATAATCCATCCTTAATGTTAGTGTGTGATTTTTCATTTCTGTCTCTTCCTTTTGTAAATTGTTTGGCCTTTCTTTCCTGTGTGTGTGTGTGTGTGTGTGTGTTACAGGTCTAGAATATTTTTTCTCCTCTTAAACTTTCTAAATCATATTTTCATTCCTATCACAGCAATTTAAAAATTTATCAGAAGTAAAATTTTAAAGAGTGGTTCCATAACATATTCTAGTTTGTCTAAATTATTTTTCTATTTTTTAACTCTGAAAAATTTGTGCATTTAAATCCAAATAGATAGAAAAATACAAGAGTTGTCAATAATTCAGGAGGATTAAGCAAAATTAAAGACAAATTTTAGAAGTTCTTTTTAATCTAACTTTTTGTCTTTTACTGCTCTGTTTACTTGTAGATATTTGATTAATCTAACATTTTGTTTTCTTTTTGTAGTAACAGTATTATTACTTCAAACAAATTATTCTTTGTTTAGATAGCTTTGAGATACTCATCCACTTAAAATATACAGTTCAGTGGGTTTTTTATATTCACAGAGTTGTCACTATATGATATCAGTCTCAGCATCATCACTCTTTTATTAGAATGTTTTTATTACACTGAAGAGACCTATGCTATTAGCAGTCATTCTGGATTCTTCCCCTTCAAATCCTAGTTCTGCGTGACTAATATTAATTTTTTTGTTAATAGACATTTTATATACCTAGAATCATACAGTATATGGCCATTTTAGACTAACTTCATTTACTTATCATATTGTTCACAAAGTTATGACTTTTAAGTTCCTTACATGCTTGATTGACATGCAGGTTTTAGTAATTAAGATCTTGTTGTTTTGGATGGTCCACTCAGTTCATTTGCATTTGTCTGAAAGTGAGAAATCATACTAAAATTTCTTTTATGTCTTATCTGTTTAAACTTTTAAAATCACATGTTGTAGCTACCACAACAATTTAAAAACTTAGAAGCAAAATTTCACAAACTTATTAAATAA